TGACAGTTTTTTCGACTCTCGTGGGGTGGTGTGTCGTGAGTACGCACCACAAGGCCAAACCATCGCAAAGGAGTACTACCAGGAGGTCCTTCGTCGTCTTTCCGATACAGTGCGATGCAAACGATGGGATCTGTGGTCGATCAAAACTTGGCAGCTCCATCGTGATAACGCATCCGCCCATTCTGCGCATCTGATTCGGGCTTTCGTCGCCAAACACAATACTCCTGTGGTTTGTCACGCTCCGTATTCTCTCCACGTGGCTCCGTGTGACCTTTGGCTATTTCTCAAGCTGAAAATGCCGCTAAAAGGAACCCAAATTTAGTCGAGAGAAGACATCGTGCGAAATGCGACGGACCAGCTGATAACCATTCCAAAAGATGCGTTCCAGCAGTGTTTCCAGCAATGGCAGAAACGCTGGGGGAAGTGTATACATTACCAAGGAGACTACTTTGAAGGGGATTAGGGTTTTGTTCCTCAAAGTCAATAAATTTATTTTTGCCGACCAAAGGTCCGATACTTTTTGAACAGACCTTGTATTCACCAGACATCGCCCCTTCCGATTATCACTTGTTCCGATCGATGGCACATGGCCTTGCTGAGCAGCACTTTCGTTCTTACGAAGATGCCAAAAAATGGGTTGATTCTTGGATAGCCTCAAAAGACGTGTCGTTTTTCCGACATGGAATTCAAATGCTGCCAGAACGATGGGAGAAAGTAGTGGCTAGTGATGGACAATACTTTCAGTAACGTGTTTATTACAACTTTTTTAAAATAAAGTGTTAATTTTCACAAAAAAACAGCGAGAACTTATTCAAGGTCCTTATAATATTATATATTTAGATTTCTATGCAGAATATTTTATGGCATTTTTTCCATTCACATAATTTATTTTTATAATCATATCTTAATTACATTGGTAGCAATTTTATTTTTAATAAACTTCAATATGTATGTTAATTATAAATTCAATGAAACTTCATAGAAAATTATTACAGTAGAGCATTGTTTATCCAAAAGTCGGTTATCCGAAAGAATTCCAGTCGGCAAATTTAAATTTTTGCTAGTGCAGTGGTGCTGCAATCTTTGGCTATATCTTGGGCTACTCCAATATTTTTTTGTTGGTGTGTGTTTTTAGCTGGCACCACTGGCACTTTTTGTGTGGTGTTTTTCTCAGGACTGTGTGTCATGCTGAATTGTACATTTTTGATACTAGATTAACTTCTAAAGTATATTTTTGTTTTTATGTTTTTCAATATATTTATTTTGTTTGTACAAAATAAAGAAATAATTTTTAACGGTACAATAGCCACAATTATTATTTTAAAAAGTTTACATTAGGCTTAACGTTGATGAAAATTCAGCGCAACACACAACGGAGAAAAATTTCAACATGGGATAGGTTAATATATTTTTTTTGTACATAATTGGTTATCCGAAAAATAAGTTATCCGAACAACCCCAGTTCCCAATTGATTCGGATAAACGGTGCTCTACTGTATTCATTTAATTTTTCTGATAATTTTTATAAATAAGGGAATTTAGGAATTGACTTTTTTAGAATAAAAATTAACATTTTATAAACAAATCTTGTTAGCACATTTTATTTTATAAAAAAACAATTTTTTAATAATACAAATTTTTATTTGTGGGTATAATTTTTCTTATAATGTAAACTAAATAAGTGGCACTATATTATTATAATTATTATATATATTTATTAGGTTTTGAGGTTTTTTATGTATGTATGTATATATGGAACTATATTAGTTTAATTCAATATTTCAGTATTTATAGTATTAGCACCAAAACTAAATTTCAGTAATTGCTATTATTATTAATTTCATTATAATATCAGACTATATTAAATTTTAATGTCTGTTTGCAATTTATGTGCAGGAGGTGAAGATTTTGATCAGAGAGTAATGGAGCATTTTATTAAGTTGTACAAAAAGAAGACTGGAAAAGATATCAGAAATGATAATCGTGCTGTTCAGAAACTTCGTCGTGAAGTAGAAAAGGCCAAGAGAACTTTGTCGAGTGCTCATCAGGCTCGTATTGAAATTGAATCAATGTACGAGGGTGAAGATTTCAGTGAAACTCTCACAAGAGCTAAATTTGAAGAATTAAATATGGTAAGAAGTTTTTTAAAATTATTTAATAATGAAAAGTTTTTGATTTTAAAAAGTTTTTGGTGTTTTTTAACATTAAAATCTTTTTTATTTAGGACTTGTTCCGTTCAACCTTGAAACCTGTACAGAAAGTTTTAGAAGATGGTGATCTACAGAAAAAGGATATTCATGAAATTGTACTTGTTGGTGGATCTACTCGTATTCCCAAGATCCAGCAATTAGTAAAAGAATTTTTCAATGGAAAAGAACCAACCCGAGGAATAAATCCTGATGAAGCTGTTGCTTATGGTGCAGCTGTTCAAGCTGGTGTCCTTAGTGGAGAAGAAGATACCGGTTAGTGTCTTGGTGTTTTTAAAACTCTTGTAAAACATTTGTGATACATTACTAAATGTTAGCAATGTATATTTGTATTATTTTTTTCTTTTAATTTTAAGGTGCATGTTTTCTTTTTACAATTTTTTAATATGTGAAATGATGAATCTTTTACATTTGATGTCAAACTGGAAATTTTTTGACAATTATTCTATTATCCTACTTGCAATATAAAATTCTATAAATGAATAAAAATTTAAAATTCTATTAAATAAAATGATTTAAACAATATCTTTTTCATTTGATGTTTTATGAAAAGCTCAAAGATATAGGTAATTAATAAAATACTCTTTCTACTTAGGAGAACTAGTTTTGCTGGATGTCAACCCTTTGACTCTTGGTATTGAAACTGTTGGTGGAGTAATGACAAAACTTATTCCAAGAAACTCTGTTATTCCTACCAAAAAGTCCCAGATTTTCTCTACTGCTTCAGACAATCAGAATACTGTTACCATTCAGGTAATTTTAAAAGCCAGTAAACTTTAATTTTTAAAAAAGAAAAGGCAGGCTAAAACTGAACTTTTTTTTTTTATATTTATTGTATAGGTGTATGAAGGAGAGCGTCCATTGACAAAAGATAATCATCAATTAGGAAAATTTGACTTGACTGGAATTCCTCCAGCTCCAAGAGGTGTTCCTCAAATTGAAGTGACCTTTGAAATTGATGTTAATGGTATCTTGAAAGTAACAGCAGAAGACAAAGGTACAGGAAACAAAGAGAAGATCACCATCACTAACGATCATAATAGGTTGACTCCGGAAGACATCGAAAGAATGATTAAGGATGCGGAGAAGTTTGCCGACGACGACAAGAAGGTTAAAGAACGCGTAGAAGCTAGAAACGACTTGGAATCCTATGTATATTCTCTTAAAAACCAAATAGGTGATAAAGATAAATTGGGTGCTAAACTTTCTAATGAAGATAAAGAAAAATTGGAAGAAGTCATTGAAGAAAAAATAAAATGGCTGGAAACCAATCAAGAAGCAGACACGGAAGAATTCAAAGCCCAGAAAAAAGAAGTCGAGGACATCGCCCAGCCCATTATTTCCAAGTTATATGCGGGGGCAGGTGGCGGTGCACCTCCAGAAGAGGAGGACGTAAAAGACGAACTATAAATGTGATGATATTAGTAAGTTTTCTTCATCTAGAATTTGGCCGTGTCAACTTCAGATGAATAATTCCATTTGAAATAGTATTTTAGTTTCTGTCCATTACATTAATGGTTCTCCATTATACATCATCATATTGTCATTTTTTGCCATTTCTGTAAAGAACAGAATGGACTGAATAACTTACTGGGAACAGTGTCACTGAATATTTATACTGTTTTGTCTTTTGACTTGTAAAATCACATTTGAAATGAATAAATTGTAAATACACTTCATTCAGTTTTGTGTTCTCTCTCTCTCTAAACGGATTTAAGAAAAACTTTAATAAAGTATTTATTAATGTCAATGTAAAATATTGTAATAATATAAATTTATACAGTGTAATAAAATTTAAGAGTTAATATTGGATCATTAATTTTAAGTCCATTTCAAAAAATTTTGTTTGGTGATTGTAGGCAATTCTAGTGAAATAAGAATTTTTAACAAAAATTAATAGGTATTTAATTAATCTAACTTGAATTAGAGGATGTACTCCCAATTTTGAAACTGGTGTTAATGCTTTCATGACTGGTCACCCCTTGAAGTTAAAAGTTAATAGATAAAGTTTTTTAGCATTTTTAGCACAATACATTATCTGCAGTTATAAACGAAGAATGCATTCTTTATTTGTGCATTCCTTTATTCGTCCGCGGAATCTGTTTAAAAATTAATACTCGAGAGTACAGTATTTCAGAGTTGATGAGAGTGGCAACTTGCGAAATGTATTTTATGTAAAAAGAAAATGTACTAAACATCAAATTTAAGGAATCATATAAAACGTTTAGAGCAGTGTTACTCAACGGGGCGATATCGCCCCCGTGTGGGCGTTTTTCCATGTTGAGGGGGGCGATTAGTAACAATTTATATTTTGGGGGACGAAGAACAATTTTCTGGGTGATATAGTATAACATTATGTTAACGAATAAAATATCTAATTATTCTTATATCGTACAATAATAAAATAACATTATACTAGTCACTAGTCTGTTCAATGCAGTACGAATTTGGCGTTAGCCTTGGCCCTCCGCATCGGAATTTTGAAGCGAAGGGGGCGACGATTCGTTAGAGGTTGAGAAACACTGGTTTAGGTGAACCCGGGGCGGAATGGGATAGCTAACGAAGATAAAATTGTCAACAATAAAAGAGAAATAACAAAAATATTACATTATATCCTTTATTATATTTGGCACAATTATTTAAATTAGATAAATCATTAAAAAAAACTTGCCCACATCCCGTTCCGCCCCGCACTCTGGGCAGAATGGGGTATGAGATTAATATTTCTTTTCTAATATTTGAGCATTAGTCTTGTTGCTTACAAAACTCAAACCAGCACGGAATCGTCATCGTCGCTGTCGAAACCCGCACAAGACATAACAGCCCATTTTTTGCACGTGACACATGAACACCAACCGTCAATCGACTATTAGTAAGCCTTGGTGCAGTAAAGGCAAGTCGTATCATCATCATCTTTCGAGTAATCGTCTCCTCCTTGTTCTTTTTTACTAGACTTTGGACGGTTCCCGTAAAGGAAAAAAACATTGCGCCCCAAAGCACGTGCTTCTAAAAAATGAAGTAGAGAAAAAAGTTTGATTGCTTTTTGCGTTATTTCATTCTAAAAATACAAATAGATCTTTAATAAACTAGACTATATAAATTTGGTTAAATTATAAAATACACCATATACTTTACAAGTGTATCAACATTAAAACAATGAATTTCATCAAAAAATCACGACGCAAGGTTTTATTGGTCAACGACAAAGAGAATCTCGGTAACCGAGTATTCACACTGACGCGTTGTCGCAGTCTGAGTATAGGACGGAGCAAACCAATTCCCTCACCTCTCATATTTAAATCGTCTTTCCATTTCGTCCCGGGTTCCCCTACATCATGTTGAATTTTGGCCTTTTAGTGCTCTGAGCAGAAAATCTAAAAAATAAAACCTCAAAAAATAAAAAAATCCTGTTGAATTTAGAAAAAATTTTATTACCAATAATAACAATACTCTTTCGACATCTAAAGCTCCAGATTTAGAAAAAACATCGACGGGGCCGCTGACAAGAAAAAGTCAGCATTTCGCCAGCGATCAAGATATGTTGAATAGCAAAAGGGCAACTAATATAAAATACTGCATTCTGTACAGTTGTCTGAGATAGGCAAGTAATTTCACCAGTGTACCTTAAAATCGCTATCCCAATATCCCGTAAGAAGGTTCAGTGTAGCCTACCCATTTGAAAGTTTTCGAACGTAAGGCGTGCAGTCAAAGACATTGCGAACCGCTGACGGAATTTGAAAAAATGCCGCACGGAGGAAAACGAGATGACCATTTCCCCGAATTATCATCCATTCGGACCGTTTTGACCAAAGCTGTGCCGACAGGTGAGGCAAAGAAGAAACAGCCTCGGGTGACAGAATTTAGAGAGCCGAAACTTTCGATTTTGTGTATTACACGAGATTTTTAAAGTAGTAGAAAATTAACGAATTCGATTTTAAAAATTCTTAACCGTACATTAAAGGAACTAAATAGAGCCTTTTGGGGGGGGGTTAGAATCCTATCTACTTCCGTTTACGATAGCTTTTGGAAAAAGCATTATTAATGAGAAAATCCTTTTCAATTTTTAATGTCACATGCTGGCGATCACGTGCATAAAAGAAGAGTACAATCAGCCTTAAGGTATTTGTCTACTATTGTGAAAGTGCGAGTTCCAATTCTGTCGACATATTATTTATAATTTATCATAGACGTAGCATTTTTAACCCTAATCTATGATGGTCGGCCATAGTGATGAGCGATCCAGTGATTTTCCGATATGGCAATCATCCGAGACCGTTCGTTTTTAATCACGATTTCGCCACACCGTAGCTAATCGGATTCACAGTTTCATCTATGACACGTGATCTACATTAAAATTATGCACCGGAGTCATCGACGATTTCTTAACGGCGATCAACGAGTCAGAGGCGGCGTTAAAAAAGAAACGAAGATACCGGAGATTCCCCAAAAGTTTTTTCCGAAAAATAATATTTGAAGTCAACACTGCACGCGGGGCCTCTAATTCAAATTTGTCTGAAGTCCGCGAAGCTATAACGAGCCAGTAAAATCCACTAGTTCCATAAACGGGATCTTAGAGAGCTTGTACGAGACCCGAGGATAGTCGGGCCCTGGACTTACGATTGGCAAAATATAGATCACGCATCGCAGGCAAAACTTTGATTCCGATGGGCAAGGTGGCAGAGAAATCGTAATCGCCATCTCCGAAAAAATCGCGGCGATAAAAAATAAGGGTCGGAGATGACCGCCAAATCGAAAAATCACCGGATCGCTCGTCACTAATTTCAACGACTTAACGTCTACCGGCGACCTAGAAAATATCGGAAAAAATTAAAGAAATTTTACACTTTTAATTTTGTAAACAATTTATATATACAAGTTTTATTTAGTTTATTTTGTAAATAAAAAAAAATTTCTTCACAAAATTTCAACCAGTAAGTTTTGGTAGCGAGAGTATAGCTTTCGGGTATATAAAAGGAAAAAAAGCGCGATTGTGGCAACTTTTCTTTGTCGTCTTCGGAGCCGGTCGTTGTTGAAGGTATAAATTATATTTAAATTGTCCGTTATCAAAATAATTTTCGTAAAATGTATAGATGAAGGATTATGTATTATAATATAAATTTATTAATCGAATAGCTGTTTCAGAAATGCGGATGATTTTGGATTTAAAATTGCCGTTTTGAATTCAAAACCACGTGGTAGGCGCTCTTTACAGAGATTTTGGTTTAGCCTTCCATTCTCATAAAATTATCCGTTTTAAACTTAATTTCACGTGCCTGTGTACAGAATTAGGCATTTTTTGGGGATTAAAATTGTTACTTTTGAAATCCTTCGGGACGACCGATATAAATTTTATTTCTTAATTTTTATCTAACTGTGTGTGTGTAGTTTGCGAGTTCGACGATATGCGGGTTAAAAGAAATTATGGTTTTTATAACTAACGAGGTGGATTTTTAGCACGTAATCCATATTTCGATGCCATTTTAGGGACGATGCCAGAGCGACAACTTATCCTGAAGATATTTCTGCTTACCTGCATTAAGAGAATTAATAATCGTTGACAATAGCAAAAAGTGAAAATGTGATTAAACATTAAAAGACAATTATTGATATTCTCTTCGGGGAGCTTCCTTTGTCAAATATGGTGTCGAAATGATGGTAGCATTTAACTTAGAAGAGATGAAAATTATCCGCTCTTGTACTTTGCTAAACAGACGTTAATTTTATAAAATGTTTTAAATTAGCTAAGGTGACTGTTAGGTATGCACCTAGATAATTATATATTTGAGCCCTCTGTGGCGGTGGTGGATCGGGCACCGAGCCGACCGACTTTTGTCGTCTTAAATACTACTATGCATATGTAGCTAGAACTATTTCTTAGATGCTGATAGTTCTTAGGTGCTGATAGTCTTAAATACTCCTTTTTGTCCAACTCCTTGCTGCCANATGTAGAAAATAATTTATTATGAAAAAAATAAATGCTAGGTCATCAAAGAAATTTATTTCAAAATATTTATAAACTTTAAATCATAGATTTTGTAATTTGAATAAATATAAAGATTGATTAGTTTTTAAATGAAAAAATAATTACAATAAATGATTTTGTATTCTGAAATTATGATGCTATTGGCAAAAACTTAAATTTAATTTGCCACGGCTGACTTGAAAATTATATAATTGTAAGATATAGAAAAGCATTTTAAAAAACAAACTACAGTATATGGCTCTTAAGATTCTCCCAAGTAAAAAGCTTCAGAAACTTTGTTTTCTAGAACCAAACTTTAACCTAAAGTTCATAAACCTAAAATTTGGTTATAAGTTAAGTTTATTTAAAATTATGATCTTTTAGTTTTTGTATTGTCTTTTTATATTTTAAGGAAATGCATACCAATTTAAATATCAGTATTCTAAGACTTTTTGCAGCAGATGAGTAATTTTTCTTTTTAATTTAGTTTTTTAAAGGCAAAAAGAAACATTGAAATGTTAGTTAGCGGGAGTACAGCAACATGCTGTATGGTCACATTGCAAATTACACCACCCAGACCTCTGAATTATTCTTCTTCTCTTCCAGACACATTTAATTCTTGATATAACCATCCACGGTTACTCAGAATTCCAAATGCTGTAAAAAGTTACAGTATTTAGTTTACATGTTGTCTTATAAAAATTCTGTCAGCCAAGTACTGAAAATAACATTCTTTCTATTATGCTAATCCAGGTTTAAAATTTTGATTCTCATAAGTCTTGTTTCTTACCAATGGACAGTTCTAGCTTATGTCCTCTCCATAATAAACAAAATTAAGTTGGTTGTATAGGTTATAGTATGCTGATATCTCATATCATGTAAATACAGTTGCAAATTAATGCAATAATAATCAGTATTTGTTGCTTTCCAATAGAAATGCTGTTTTGTTGTTGAATTTGATACAAAAATACTGGTTTTTTAGCATTTGAAATAAGAATAAAATACTTTTGCTTCTATTCTAATTTTTCCAGATAGTTTTATAACAAAATTTTATATAGAGTTATTCCAGAAACAATTGGGCAATATACTGTGGCAATTTGATGATTTAAGCATTTTGGCACTTAGTTAAAAGAACAATTTTTCTGTATCTGTATTGGATCAGAATTTGTGAAATGTGGACTAATTCTTCTGTAACTTATCTTCAAGACATGGTTTGAATACTGAGAAATTCTAACCTTTGAATTTTAGTTACAATAATAGTTTAATCGTGTGACCTTCAAACAATTAAAAATTGTCTGGAATGTACTGTACTACTTTCTGAAAATATCTGACATATTCAAATCACCAATTACAATATATTTTGAGGAATAATTTTACATTATATATCTGCTGTGTATTTCATTTACATTTTTATAAGAAAAACAATATTGCAGTATTAATAGATTTTATACAAAAGATCTTTGATTGAAATCTAGAGTGATTTTTACTTTATATTATAAAAGTTAATACTTTTGTATGCTCTTAATTATATTTTAGTAATTCATTAAAAATAACTTTAGAGAAAATTTGTCAAATGTCTTTTTTTTTTTTTTTTTTTTAATTTTTAGGTCATCGAGAAAAGTAGCAAACCTCATATCAGAGTCGAGACTTCGCAAGGACAAAAATTGTTTGCACCTGAAGAAATTTCGGCCATGGTTTTAACTAAAATGAAAGAGACGGCAGAAGCATATTTAGGGAAAAAAATTACCAATGCTGTTGTGACAGTACCAGCTTATTTTAACGATGCCCAACGTCAGGCAACAAAAGATGCTGGTGTAATTGCTGGACTGAATGTGATGAGAATTATTAATGAGCCGACTGCTGCTGCTATTGCTTATGGGTTGGATAAGAAAGAAGGCGAAAAGAATATCCTGGTATTTGATTTAGGAGGTGGTACATTTGATGTTTCTTTGTTGACAATTGATAATGGAGTATTTGAAGTAATATCAACAAATGGAGATACTCATTTGGGTAAGAATTTTTTTTCTTGTATGAAATGTATAAAAGAATACATGTATCTGTTATCAATTTAATTTTGGTAAATCAAATTATTTCATTTACTAACTGTTATCCACGACTTCACACCTGTGGATTTTGCAAGCAAATCCCATTTTATATTCAGTATTTCAACAACCATAGTAATTGTTATATCACCTACCACTGAGAATCAAACAAACTATTTTCAATTTGATCATTTTTCTGGAACGTTTACAATCATTCTATAATCGAACCAATATGCAATTTGAATTTAAAACGATTGGAACATTTGGTTAAAAATTTGAAATATATATAGAAATATTTATAATGTCTGAAATGTTATCACTTTAATACACCTAAGTACTCAATGAAGACTAAACGTAGTTAAAAACAAAAAATCGCATCTAAAACAGTAGAGTAGAAGCCATTCTTTGGGTTAAGCCTTAATCCTTTCCCTCTCCCCCAGCAAGGAAATTTTGAAAAGTCTCTTCTTAGCGTGCGTTTTTCATGACGTACACTGTGTGCAAAATTTCGCCTCTAGGTTCAGCAGTTTGCTCTGGGCAATGATGAATCAGTCAGTCAGGACAAGTATAAGGACCTTGAATAAGTTCTCACTGTTTTCGAACAGATGGCGTTACCAGAACCACGTGTGTTTATTTTTAGATGGTGACGCATCTGTAAGGAAGTACAATAAGGCCTTGAAATTCAGTATACATCATTTCACTGAAGTGTAAACAACTTATTTTTTCATTGTGTTAAACATGTCTAGTTTCGTGACATGCTGGGAATTTTATTGCACTATTTTATTCAAAAAAAATCTGCAGCTGAAGCACACAGAATTCTTGTTGAGACTTACGGCAACCATGCTCTGTCGGAAACAACATGCAGAGATTGGTTTAGACGCTTCAAAAATAATGATTTTGATGTTGAAGATAAAGAACGATCTGGTGCACCAAAAAAGTTTGAAGACAAGGAATTAGAGGCATTACTTCGTGAAGACATGAGTCTTCACGAAGTAATGCCTCTAATGAGTCTTCACGAAGTAATGCCTCTAATTCCTTCTCTAATGCCAGACGCTAGCTGAACTTTCAGAATCATTAGGAGTTGATCACACAACAGTTTCGAAACGTTTAAAAGGATTAGGAATGATTCAAAAGCAAGGACATTAAGTGCCGTACGAGTTGAAGCCGAGAGATGTTGAACGGCGTCTTTTCACATGTGAACAGCTGCTTCAACGGCAGAAAAGGAAAGGTTTTCTGCATCGTATCGTGACAGGTGACGAAAAATGGATACACTACGATAACCCTAAGCGTAGAAAATCGTGGGGTAAGCCCAGTCATGCATCATCATCAGCAAGGCCGAATATCCCATGGTTCAAAGCTTCTGCTCTGCATTTGGTGGGATCAGCTAGGTGTAGTTTATTACGAGCTGCTCAAACCAAACAAAACTATCACGGGAGATCGCTATAAACTACAATTGATGCGTTTGAGCCAAGCATTGAAGGAAAAACGGCCGCTATATGAGCAGAGACACGACAAAGTGATTTTGCAACATGATAATGCTTGGCCACATGTTACACAACCGGTGAAAACGTACTTGGAAACACTTAAATGGGAAGTCCTACCCCACCCGTCATACAAGGTCTGTTCAAAAAGTATCGGACCTTNACTATGGAAACATTGTAAAGTAATAAGGAAATAATGTATGGTAATGTGGTATGAAACAAAATTTGTTAATAAATATCAGTTAGTTATAAAACAATAACACACTGCCTTCTAGCACTAATCCAAATGATAGTTCCAAAGAAAGTATAACTATCGATAAGTTTATAAGATTATTACAAGAATTTCTAATAAATATAGAAAAACCAAAACATATCACTGCCAAGAACCCAGTGAGTTATATATAGATTTGAATTTCACAAAAGAGAATGAGGTTTGGACAATTATAATGTTGATTTCCTCTGCACTTAAAAGGCTAATTGTAATGCAAATGATGTTCTTTTAATGGTCTTCCAAGCAGTCTTATCCTATAATTATAAATGACCCTTATTTCCCAGCCAATGACTACTAATATCTCCCTAATTTTTCCAGGTAATATGAGCAGAATGTCACCAAAGAGACATGTTTAACAATGATAAGTCGGATATGGTAAGTTCAATGAATGATCTTGTTAATTAATTTTGCATATGTGTAATTGTACTTTTCTTTCACAGAGTTCAATGGAACCTGTTCCTGAAACAAACAATTTGTATTCAACCCAAGCAAATGTGAATGTAACTGGAAATAATTCATGATTTCAAGAAAATGCCTCAAATGCTCAACTATCAGTGCAAATCAATCAGGATGGTCCACCTCCAAACACATTGAATACCAGTCTAAGTTTGTCATCTCCAAACACATCTGATAGCCAGAATACATATACAAGTTCACAAGAAAACACTCAGGATTCATCTCTCAACATTTCTGGTAACTTACTTCAGAACCCCAAGCCTCAGAATAAATCTGGCAGCAGCAATTTGTCGTCATTTCGTCACAGTGAAATGGTATGTTATAATTATTAACAGCTGATCTTTTCTTTTGTATGGGGAAAAGTTTCACTAATGCAGTAGTAGCTGTGTTGCTGCTTAGTAATCGTAATTTTTTTTTTTTTTACAGCGACATGTCAACTCGGGTATTTCAGAATATGAAGGAATGCAGAACTGCTTTGATTTTATTGATAAGAGCTTGATTGCATGGTGCTTTTTGCATGATCCAGACATTCCACTGCTGGCTACTGCTTCAGCTTGATTTGGGAAAACGTCAATCCTAAAAGTGCTCCAGAAGTTCTTTGCAATTCAAATGACCAGATCTGGCATTAGTTGATTGCCTTAAAGAATGTGAAACAGAAAGATGGAAGACTTGTTGAGGACCCAAACTACATGTCAGATCTTCAGCACTTTCAAGACAAAGAAAATTTTCACAATGTGCCATTGCTCTGTGCCTGTGGAAGTCGTCTGCGATCTATACAAACAGTAGTTTTCATGCAACTGTCAACAATACTCTGTTATCTATATAGATTTTGGGACTGTTAGCAGCGCACCTGTGGTTATTACAAGTTTGAATGATGTCAGAGATGCATTTAAGCAGCATTCATATTTGATAGAAGAAATTAAAAGAAAAACTTTTGTGGTCAAGTACGGGGAATAAGAAAATGGGCAGTCATGATGTCAGTACATTTCTCGACTACTATGATGTTGAGCATCGGAACTTTTGGAGGAGCGCAAACAACTGAAGATAGAACGAGGTACTGTACCTGATGAATGGTCTGCTATTGCTAGCAGAATATTCAAGTCTGCATTTCAAAATTGAGCAATCTAGAAAAGGTGTTATTCTACTTGTTGATGAGTTCGATGCCCCCATTTCTGAGGTAATCTTTCAAAAGGAAGAAGAAGAAGATAGATCAAATATCATAGAAATTTCCAGTTTTCTTCGTTTTTGGACATGCAGGCTTCTTAAGGAGTACTGGTTTATGGAAAAGGCACTGGTGACCATCTATGTTGCCTTAGTAGGCATTTTATCACTCGGCATGAATAATATGCAGGTTTGACTTTTCTTGGACTCCCACTGTTTCTCTGAAGCATTTGGATTTAGAGGATGAAATGAAAACACTTGTTTTTGAGCTACTTGAGAGAAATTACTTCCTTGTCAAGAGATGACATTCTGAGAAACATAGATCAGTGGTATAATGGATATCCAACCATTCAGAACAACACAAAGATCTCTAGCATCTACTCCATTTTGTCTTACTTGCAAAGTGGCGAGTATTGGAAGGATAAAGTTGGTTTGAGTTGCTTAGATGCTCTTCTTGCTGAAGAAGTATTTCATGAAAAAGTCTTCCAGCTTATTGGCAATAGCCAACTAACAGTATCAATTGATGTGCTTGAGTGTGTGGATCCTGCGCACACATGCATTTTGAATGAGCTAGTTAATAATCCTGTACCTTGAAACTATGGACCCACAAAACATTGATTTGTACTTACAATTTTTGACTGAATGTGGTTTCTTTACTGTGACCAATAGGACAGACATGAACATTAGTATAAGAATGCCAAATTGTGAGATCAGTCGTTGACTTAGACAGAATGTGCTTTCAGGAATGATTAAGAAGAGATCCTATGAGTTTGACTTGTCCAAAGTTTCTGCACTTATTACAAGCCTACAATCTGTTGAGACCACCAATGTGACATGGAGAAACAACAAAGCACTGTGCATTGCAGTTGCAGAAAATGTTGCAAACTTGTACTCCAATGTGGAGACACCCAGCAACCACTTCAAGATACAAGCTGACCTGTATTTTCTCATAAGGAGATCAGGCAAGTTTTCGAAAGCTGATGCTGAACTTGTGGTTGACACGTGCCCAGAATGGATATATTTTTTTTATCTCAAAGAGAACAGTAGTGGTGGTAGTAGTTAATCATTTCAACACTGGAACCAATATGGATTCTGCTCTTGAGAAAACCTTGAATAGAGGATATCACAGGATCTGTGAAGAGAAATTTCATGGTGACATTACTGTTTTCTGGGTATATATTTAGCTGCCGATGGAAAGGTCTCTCTGATTCACTAACACAAGGTGCGTTTCTATTTCAACACTTGGCGGTATTCCATTTTTATTTAGTTTATACGGTTATAAGTACAATAACACATTTCAGGCACTTTTATTTGATAAGGTCTGTCAGTTGCTTGGTAAACATTGATGGAACGAAAAGTAGAGAAGCTATAATGAGTGAATGAGTGTGTGGACAGCAACAGAAACACCCTGTACACTCTTGGTGGGCAGGTGTAGTTATGAGAAGACTTGCTTGCAATTTATGACTATTCAGGAAAGAAAAGCACCAAAGTTAAAGGTGATTTTGTAAAAATGTTTTGCTTTGTATTGTTTTAATGTTTCATGGCCATTCAGAAATATAATTTTTGTTTTGGAGAAACCAATATTATTTTTATATGAATTTTAAAATGCTCAATTTTGAGAATTGTTTTATTCGATTTTTAAGCTCTGGTTTTTTGAGTGCTCTACAAAAGAATTAAAAATAGCTTACCATCTTGGCAGCAAATCTGCTAATATTTTTATCACAAAATTCTGTGATTGAGGTGAGTTTTTCTCAGTTTTTATGGGATTACACTGGATGTGCTAGAACCCAAGGGTCGTTTTTGAAGTACAGTACCTAGGCATGGTTTTAGGTGATTTTTCTTTGTCTCCCACAATCTATGATTAGTATTGCAGCAGTGGAAAAAAAAATTTCACAGGAAAAGTATTTTTAGAGCATTTTTAGGTTACAAAACCTTGTATTTTCTTATTTTGTTTGTTTTTTTTAAAGATGTGTGTACTATAGAAATTATAAGGTTATTTTTATGTAAAAAGTAGTGATAGGGAGATAAACTTTTCCTTTATTTTTCTCATTTTAGCAGTTTCACTGCCAGGACACTTATCATCATTGAGGTATATGTGCGTCAGTTTTTGTTATTACCCACAAGACCCTGCCCAGAAAATTTGGGGATTTTAAATATTTTGGTTTTTTCATTGAATTTATAGTTATTTTTGATATATTTTTGAGAAGTCTGCCTAGATTTTGATGGTTTTGGGTGATTTTTTTTTCTCCCGACAAGGCACCAGTTAGAAGTAACTATTGTTGTACTACTGGTAATAACCAGCCATTGAAACAAAACTTTCTTATTCTATAAAATTTTGGCAAAAAGGTGACTCAAAACACCAGCTACACCAAAGGCAAGCAGTTAAAGACTTTACCTTTGTAGTTTGCAAGAGATCAGTTCTTATTTGACAGGATTTTCTGATTTGGGTAGTTGGTATAAAAATGCACAAACTTTTATTACTTCTTATCAAAGATATTTTTTTGTGGTAAAAAAGGAAACTTTATTGGTTACTGAAGAGTAAAAATTTAATGTTTGTGGAAAATAGTCATGAAGATGGTATCCGTGCCCAAAGTTCATTGTCTGCGAGCTAATAGCGAGGTTTAGGCCGACTTTTTTGATGCAAAAATGTGTATGTCAAACATTTGGTGCCACCTTCCTGTAAGCCTAGAAGTTTGACAATGGTGTTTGGAACATCAGTGGAATAATGCTTGACGTTCCATTTTTAAATTTTTTTTAATATAGAACAAGGCCACTTACCTAATTAAGATCCAGCAATTTTAAATTCAGGAAGTTTGTGTAAGAATTAAATATTTAGTATAAATTACAAAAAACTTGCTGAATCTAAATATATAAAATTGCTTGTCCTGACTGACTGATTCGTCATCGTCCAGAGCAAACTGCTGAACCTAAAGAGGTGAAATTTGGTACACAGGGTACGTCGTGAAAATGCACACTAAGAAGGGATTTTTCAAAATTCCCCCGACGGGGAGAGGGAGAGCATTAAGGCTTAACCGGAAGAACGGTTTCTACTGTACTATTTTAGATGAGATTTTTTTGTTTTCAACTACGTTTAGTCTTCATTAAGTACTTAGGGATATTAGATTGATAACATTTCGGACATTGTTATAAACATTTTTATTATTTCGATTTTTTAACCAAATGTTTGAACCGTTTTAAATTCAAATTTGTTATTGCATATTGGTTTGATTTATAGAACGATTGATCAAATTGAAAATAGTTTGATTTTCAGCAATTCTCATTATTTTCAGTGGTAGGTGTTATATAACAATAACCATGATTGTTGAAATACAGAATATAAATGGGGTTTGCTTGCAAAACCACCACGGGCGAAGTCGCAGGTAACAGCCTAGTTATTTCATATATTTTCTGCTCTTATATTTGTGTTTCCCCTATAAGCTTTGAGTAAATGATGATAATTTTGCTCTGTGACAAAAAATGATAAATTTTTTGTATTAGCTCTATCTGATATATTAACCTTAAGTTTAACTGATGTAAAATTTTTATTTTTATTCATTTAAATGTTTTCTTTTTCTTTTCAGGATTATTGATTTGCCTTTTTCTAAACTTAAATGGTAAGAACCTTAAACTTTTCTTCATAGTAGTAAGTGTGTTTATAGAATTCAAATTTTATATATAAATTAGGACTTAAGCTCAAAATTTGTAAGATTCTGTCAGATTTATAACTGATATCCAAATCTGAAATTTTAACAAAAATTGGTATAGATCCATAACTGCAAAATTTCCAATCTAGAAACTTGCATGTTTACTGATCTCTTAATTATGATGGATACTGTATCTGTACAGATAACACTTTGATGCTTTTTATATACAAAATTTTATAACTAAAGATAAAAATTGTGAAGAGTGTTAACTTATAAAATGTTATCAAGTGCTATAAATTACTCTTGAATTGCATAAATGCTTGTCTTATCTTTTTTTCATGTGAATTACAGTAGATCCCCCTATAAAACCGTTTCCTATAGTTATGATTCCTATAAAAATTGTGGCAGTATCCGTAAACAACGGTAAAAATAACTCCTATAATACGTAAAACGTCATCGGGCAGCCGAACTACTTTCCCGCCGTCCGTAGCGCCACGCTACGGACGTTTAGGCGGATAAATTGAGTTTAGTATCGTCTGTTCATATAATTATATATAAATTAGGTACTGTACATATAATTATATATTAATTATATATAAATTAGGTACTGTATATATAATTATATATTAACTTAATTTATTGTAACTTTATTATAATTAAATATATATTTTTCGCCGTCTAGCGTCACGCTACGGCGAGTTAGGCGACCTATCGTCTGTCCAGTACTGTAATTTTATACATTTCTTGTGAAAGAAACATTTCTTATTTAACGGCCATAAAAATTATTTATATTAAGGATGTCTCCAAAGGTCAACGAAGTTTTCGCAGAAAAATAATATCAGAAATCGCGGCCGCGGTTTGATGCGCTGTTCCGCGACGAAACCAAGCTTTAGCAACGGGCGTAGTCGAACGGTACACACTCGGTAAGCAATCCTACAATTTTTTGTTTATAACGTAGTTTATACGGATTATTTTCAAAAAAATATACGTATTTTGGAAATGTTGAGTCGAATTAGTCTAGAATCGATTAATTTTATGAAAGAAAACCTTTCAAACAGCCGTAGTCCGTAAACTATGATTCCTACAAAATTGATTCATAAAGAACGGAACGTATCTACCATCTTATAGGGGGATCTACTGTACTAAACTTCTATTAATAGGCTAAACCAGTGTTTCTCAACCTCTAACAAATCGTCGCCCCCTTCAATAAAACCATTATGTAGTATCACCCCTTCACTTCAAAATTCCAATGCCCAGGGCCAAGGCTAATGCCAAATTCATACTGCATTGAATAGACTAGTGACTAGTATAATGTTGTTTGTTTAATTATTGTACAATATAATGAATAAAATATCTAATTATTCTTAATGTAATGTTTTACTATATCTCCCAGAAAATTGATTTTTGCCCCACAAAATAAAAATTGTTGCTAATCGCCCCTCAACATAGGAAAAACGCCCACATGGGGCGATATCACCCTCCGTTGAGAAACACTGAGCTAAACTGTCAACAGATGTGTTTTTGTACCTGCTTCATTTAATGTATGCACTTTTCCAATGCTATGGAAAAAAATTTCATTTAGTGATGATTATTGTTTGGGAATCTCTTTGATTATTATGAAAAAATAATTTTCTGATTTTAATATTAAAATAACTAATTATTTTTAAGTATAATATATTTTAATTAATGGGCTATTTTATTTTCAGTATTTATTTCATCTGTATGCTTTGTTTTATAGCACAAAGGTAAATATTTTTAGTCCCTAGTTGTCTTTAAGAGTAGAATTTAGAGTAGTAGTAATGCTTTTAGAATGTAAGTCTGAAATACACCTTTTCATTTTAGTACTAAAGTTAGAGTTAAACAAATTCTTAGTTTACAAGTTGCACAATATTGAATATATTAATTCATAATGATGATATGTGTATTTGCTACCCTTGAGTATTTTGTGAAGAAATATTTTCTGAATATTAATATTTACTGATGTAAATCTTTTTATTTTACTTTCAATGTACACTAACATTAATTTTATTTTCTGCAGAAAAATCTTAAGCAGATTCATCAATTTAATTGGAGGTAAATATTATTGTCACTAAAATTTTGATTTTTAATTTATGATTAACGATAGGGACAAATGAAATGGAAAAGATTTCTTTAGAACTCTTTAATGTGACTGCTTATTTTAGTTGTCCATAATGACAGTAGCACTCTCTTGTAAAAAGTATTTGAATCTTAAGGTGTTATGGTATTGTACAGCAATAAGGAATTAAGATATGGCAATACAGTATTGAACTATGGAAACATTGTAAAGTAATAAGGAAATAATGTATGGTAATGTGGTATGAAACAAAATTTGTTAATAAATATCAGTTAGTTATAAAACAATAACACACTGCCTTCTAGCACTAATCCAAATGATAGTTCCAAAGAAAGTATAACTATCGATAAGTTTATAAGATTATTACAAGAATTTCTAATAAATATAGAAAAACCAAAACATATCACTGCCAAGAACCCAGTGAGTTATATATAGATTTGAATTTCACAAAAGAGAATGAGGTTTGGACAATTATAATGTTGATTTCCTCTGCACTTAAAAGGCTAATTGTAATGCAAATGATGTTCTTTTAATGGTCTTCCAAGCAGTCTTATCCTATAATTATAAATGACCCTTATTTCCCAGCCAATGACTACTAATATCTCCCTAATTTTTCCAGGTAATATGAGCAGAATGTCACCAAAGAGACATGTTTAACAATGATAAGTCGGATATGGTAAGTTCAATGAATGATCTTGTTAATTAATTTTGCATATGTGTAATTGTACTTTTCTTTCACAGAGTTCAATGGAACCTGTTCCTGAAACAAACAATTTGTATTCAACCCAAGCAAATGTGAATGTAACTGGAAATAATTCATGATTTCAAGAAAATGCCTCAAATGCTCAACTATCAGTGCAAATCAATCAGGATGGTCCACCTCCAAACACATTGAATACCAGTCTAAGTTTGTCATCTCCAAACACATCTGATAGCCAGAATACATATACAAGTTCACAAGAAAACACTCAGGATTCATCTCTCAACATTTCTGGTAACTTACTTCAGAACCCCAAGCCTCAGAATAAATCTGGCAGCAGCAATTTGTCGTCATTTCGTCACAGTGAAATGGTATGTTATAATTATTAACAGCTGATCTTTTCTTTTGTATGGGGAAAAGTTTCACTAATGCAGTAGTAGCTGTGTTGCTGCTTAGTAATCGTAATTTTTTTTTTTTTTACAGCGACATGTCAACTCGGGTATTTCAGAATATGAAGGAATGCAGAACTGCTTTGATTTTATTGATAAGAGCTTGATTGCATGGTGCTTTTTGCATGATCCAGACATTCCACTGCTGGCTACTGCTTCAGCTTGATTTGGGAAAACGTCAATCCTAAAAGTGCTCCAGAAGTTCTTTGCAATTCAAATGACCAGATCTGGCATTAGTTGATTGCCTTAAAGAATGTGAAACAGAAAGATGGAAGACTTGTTGAGGACCCAAACTACATGTCAGATCTTCAGCACTTTCAAGACAAAGAAAATTTTCACAATGTGCCATTGCTCTGTGCCTGTGGAAGTCATCTGCGATCTATACAAACAGTAGTTTTCATGCAACTGTCAACAATACTCTGTTATCTATATAGATTTTGGGACTGTTAGCAGCGCACCTGTGGTTATTACAAGTTTGAATGATGTCAGAGATGCATTTAAGCAGCATTCATATTTGATAGAAGAAATTAAAAGAAAAACTTTTGTGGTCAAGTACGGGGAATAAGAAAATGGGCAGTCATGATGTCAGTACATTTCTCGACTACTATGATGTTGAGCATCGGAACTTTTGGAGGAGCGCAAACAACTGAAGATAGAACGAGGTACTGTACCTGATGAATGGTCTGCTATTGCTAGCAGAATATTCAAGTCTGCATTTCAAAATTGAGCAATCTAGAAAAGGTGTTATTCTACTTGTTGATGAGTTCGATGCCCCCATTTCTGAGGTAATCTTTCAAAAGGAAGAAGAAGAAGATAGATCAAATATCATAGAAATTTCCAGTTTTCTTCGTTTTTGGACATGCAGGCTTCTTAAGGAGTACTGGTTTGTGGAAAAGGCACTGGTGACCATCTATGTTGCCTTAGTAGGCATTTTATCACTCGGCATGAATAATATGCAGGTTTGACTTTTCTTGGACTCCCACTGTTTCTCTGAAGCATTTGGATTTAGAGGATGAAATGAAAACACTTGTTTTTGAGCTACTTGAGAGAAATTACTTCCTTGTCAAGAGATGACATTCTGAGAAACATAGATCAGTGGTATAATGGATATCCAACCATTCAGAACAACACAAAGATCTCTAGCATCTACTCCATTTTGTCTTACTTGCAAAGTGGCGAGTATTGGAAGGATAAAGTTGGTTTGAGTTGCTTAGATGCTCTTCTTGCTGAAGAAGTATTTCATGAAAAAGTCTTCCAGCTTATTGGCAATAGCCAACTAACAGTATCAATTGATGTGCTTGAGTGTGTGGATCCTGCGCACACATGCATTTTGAATGAGCTAGTTAATAATCCTGTACCTTGAAACTATGGACCCACAAAACATTGATTTGTACTTACAATTTTTGACTGAATGTGGTTTCTTTACTGTGACCAATAGGACAGACATGAACATTAGTATAAGAATGCCAAATTGTGAGATCAGTCGTTGACTTAGACAGAATGTGCTTTCAGGAATGATTAAGAAGAGATCCTATGAGTTTGACTTGTCCAAAGTTTCTGCACTTATTACAAGCCTACAATCTGTTGAGACCACCAATGTGACATGGAGAAACAACAAAGCACTGTGCATTGCAGTTGCAGAAAATGTTGCAAACTTGTACTCCAATGTGGAGACACCCAGCAACCACTTCAAGATACAAGCTGACCTGTATTTTCTCATAAGGAGATCAGGCAAGTTTTCGAAAGCTGATGCTGAACTTGTGGTTGACACGTGCCCAGAATGGATATATTTTTTTTATCTCAAAGAGAACAGTAGTGGTGGTAGTAGTTAATCATTTCAACACTGGAACCAATATGGATTCTGCTCTTGAGAAAACCTTGAATAGAGGATATCACAGGATCTGTGAAGAGAAATTTCATGGTGACATTACTGTTTTCTGGGTATATATTTAGCTGCCGATGGAAAGGTCTCTCTGATTCACTAACACAAGGTGCGTTTCTATTTCAACACTTGGCGGTATTCCATCTTTATTTAGTTTATACGGTTATAAGTACAATAACACATTTCAGGCACTTTTATTTGATAAGGTCTGTCAGTTGCTTGGTAAACATTGATGGAACGAAAAGTAGAGAAGCTATAATGAGTGAATGAGTGTGTGGACAGCAACAGAAACACCCTGTACACTCTTGGTGGGCAGGTGTAGTTATGAGAAGACTTGCTTGCAATTTATGACTATTCAGGAAAGAAAAGCACCAAAGTTAAAGGTGATTTTGTAAAAATGTTTTGCTTTGTATTGTTTTAATGTTTCATGGCCATTCAGAAATATAATTTTTGTTTTGGAGAAACCAATATTATTTTTATATGAATTTTAAAATGCTCAATTTTGAGAATTGTTTTATTCGATTTTTAAGCTCTGGTTTTTTGAGTGCTCTACAAAAGAATTAAAAATAGCTTACCATCTTGGCAGCAAATCTGCTAATATTTTTATCACAAAATTCTGTGATTGAGGTGAGTTTTTCTCAGTTTTTATGGGATTACACTGGATGTGCTAGAACCCAAGGGTCGTTTTTGAAGTACAGTACCTAGGCATGGTTTTAGGTGATTTTTCTTTGTCTCCCACAATCTATGATTAGTATTGCAGCAGTGGAAAAAAAAATTTCACAGGAAAAGTATTTTTAGAGCATTTTTAGGTTACAAAACCTTGTATTTTCTTATTTTGTTTGTTTTTTTTAAAGATGTGTGTACTATAGAAATTATAAGGTTATTTTTATGTAAAAAGTAGTGATAGGGAGATAAACTTTTCCTTTATTTTTCTCATTTTAGCAGTTTCACTGCCAGGACACTTATCATCATTGAGGTATATGTGCGTCAGTTTTTGTTATTACCCACAAGACCCTGCCCAGAAAATTTGGGGATTTTAAATATTTTGGTTTTTTCATTGAATTTATAGTTATTTTTGATATATTTTTGAGAAGTCTGCCTAGATTTTGATGGTTTTGGGTGATTTTTTTTTCTCCCGACAAGGCACCAGTTAGAAGTAACTATTGTTGTACTACTGGTAATAACCAGCCATTGAAACAAAACTTTCTTATTCTATAAAATTTTGGCAAAAAGGTGACTCAAAACACCAGCTACACCAAAGGCAAGCAGTTAAAGACTTTACCTTTGTAGTTTGCAAGAGATCAGTTCTTATTTGACAGGATTTTCTGATTTGGGTAGTTGGTATAAAAATGCACAAACTTTTATTACTTCTTATCAAAGATATTTTTTTGTGGTAAAAAAGGAAACTTTATTGGTTACTGAAGAGTAAAAATTTAATGTTTGTGGAAAATAGTCATGAAGATGGTATCCGTGCCCAAAGTTCATTGTCTGCGAGCTAATAGCGAGGTTTAGGCCGACTTTTTTGATGCAAAAATGTGTATGTCAAACATTTGGTGCCACCTTCCTGTAAGCCTAGAAGTTTGACAATGGTGTTTGGAACATCAGTGGAATAATGCTTGACGTTCCATTTTTAAATTTTTTTTAATATAGAACAAGGCCACTTACCTAATTAAGATCCAGCAATTTTAAATTCAGGAAGTTTGTGTAAGAATTAAATATTTAGTATAAATTACAAAAAAACTTGCTGAATTATTTCATATATTTTCTGGTCTTTTTTATATTTGTGTTTCCCCTATAAGCTTTGAGTAAATGATGATAATTTTGCTCTGTGACAAAAAATGATAAATTTTTTGTATTAGCTCTATCTGATATATTAACGTTAAGTTTAATTGATGTAAAATTTTTATTTTTATTCATTTAAATGTTTTCTTTTTCTTTTCAGGATTATTGATTTGCCTTTTTCTAAACTTAAATGGTAAGAACCTTAAACTTTTCTTCATAGTAGTTAGTGTGTTTATAGAATTCAAATTTTATATATAAACTAGCTTACCCGTCGCGCATTGCTGCGATCTCAGAAGAAACGAAATTCAAGCAAACTCAATATGATAAAATTAAATTTACATTTTATCATTTTTATTGAAACTTATTATTATTATTCGTTTTCATCGGGAAAATATTTCAAAGTGTTGTTTCAATTCTATTTATTTATTGGGGTGCTCGTGGATACACGATATTTTTTGTTTTTCCATCTGGTGCATACACGAATAAATCGAAAGGTTTTCCGACGCGTGAGCTGGCCACATACAGTTGTCCATGTGAGAAGCACGGATTCTCCAAATTTAACCCACACACTCGCAGCAATTGTCAGAAGTGCGATATTCCTCAGTTTTATATATATTTTAAAATCCTTTATAATTTTCATTATTTAATTGCTCCTCCTCCTCGGCATGTTGTGAAATTTCTGATAGTTGGATAATAAACCATTTTACTGTAATTTGTCTTTTTAAATTATTTTGAGTCGATATTAAAATTTGGAAAAGGGGGATACCTAGATCGGTAAAATATGCGAATTTCTTCCTACAACTTCGGTCGTTGTTTGGGGTACAGTTAAGGTTTTAACAAAGTTTGAGCCGAATACGTAATTAGCAAAAAAAAGTTGAAATAAAGTGATTAAACAAAAATTATTACAAATATCGTAAATAACAAATGCATATATAGAGATATTTTTTGAAAGGGAGAAATGGTCTTCACAATTTGAAATTGATCGAACACACTGCTTGAATGCTCGTGTAAATGCGCGCCATCTATTGTAGGATAAATGTACTTTGCGGGAGTGAATTAAAAAACTTTCCAAAGTTTCATGGCAATCGTACTATGCCACAAACTTTCGCTGGAGTATATTAAACAACTTCCCAAAGTTTCACAGCAATCGGATAAACGGTGTGGTAATGCATGAAGGACATAGGACAGACACGCAGACATACATTCATTTTTATATATATAGATTAGGACTTAAGCTCAAAATTTGTAAGATTCTGTCAGATTCATAACTGATATCCAAATCTGAAATTTTAACANGGTGTGGTAATGCATGAAGGACATAGGACAGACACGCAGACATACATTCATTTTTATATATATAGATTAGGACTTAAGCTCAAAATTTGTAAGATTCTGTCAGATTCATAACTGATATCCAAATCTGAAATTTTAACAGAAATTGGTATAGATCCATAACTGCAAAATTTCCAATCTACAAACTTGCATGTTTACTGATCTCTGTTTTGATGAATACTGTAGCTGTACAGATAACACTTGGATGCTTTTGTATAGAAAATTTTATAAGTAGAGGTTTAATGTATTTAAAGAACTAATGTCATTTTAATATATACAAAATATAATGTAATAATGCACGAAGCTTCGGCACCATGGGACAGAAGGTTCGACATCACATTTGCGATGACAATTTGTCAGGACTGACACCACTGTGTCTTTGAGGTAGAAACAGAAACCTAGATGGCCACTAATCTCGTTTTGTGCACAAGCGGTTGTGTTTGTAGGTGCTTGGATCTGATACAAGGGATGGTACAGATTGAGGAAATACACCAAACAATTGTAACTAACAAATATCCGTTTATTAAGCTAATTATGCAAATAAGGTTATTAACTCATATTTAAGCTTTAAGGCTTCTTTGCAAGATCTAAGCTGGAGAGAGAGCTTACATCTAGATAAGTTGTATTGATACCTGGTAAGGGATCTGAGATGAATTGAAGAGCTATTGGAGTTCACTTAAATGGAGTTCACTTGGATGGAAGGAGTTCCAGTTTGAATGAGTACAATTTCACGGAGGAAGGTCACTAAGGTAACCGATCGTTGAGGCAACTCTGACTAAGGCAGAAACTTTCATGATGATCATGGATTTATAATACAGAAGTGGATAGCACGCCAACCATTTAATAGGAGAAACTTTTATCATACAGGCGTTAAATTACAAATATTGATAGTATATGTTTGGGAGGACCTCCTTACCAACATATTAAATCCCTGCAACACCCCCACACTTGATTTGCCCCCTTTGTGGATCAATTTGTATAACTTATCTGAAACATATCTAGCTCCATAATTTGGAGGCGCATAGCACATGCACATTATAACTGCATGTGTTGTTATTTAAAAATTGTCTTATGTTCTACTGTTGCTTCCGTTCCAAAACGTTAATATGCTTGGAACGGTCAGTTATTTGTAGTCAAAAAAAGGAATTTAACCGTTTTAACGACCTGATGAAGACGAAAATAATTATCGTCAAAAGCGCAGGCCTCGGAGTCTTTCACTTGTACTCACTTTTCAGGTCATTTTCTCACTTTTCTCACTTTTTTGGTCATTTCCACGTGCTTAAAAATTAGGAAGATGTGGGACCAATCAAAAATAGTTTTAAAGCTAAACAATCTGCCGAATTATCAAACCTATTGGACTAGAATTTTATGAAAAAAATACTCCGCCCGAGCGGGACTCTTAATCGCAACTGCCGCTCAGTGTTGTTAAGTTATCGTCTGTATTTATACGTAACTAGGTAGTCAGTTAATTAAAACAAAAAATAATAATTAAATTTTNAAGAAGGCAAAGCCAAAGGGATTCTTGGAGGAAGTATGTTTCTAGCATAACATCTTCCACCAGCTCAAAAGCAGTCTGGGATAAAAATGAGAAATATGCTTCTCACTCTGTGTCCATGCTGAAAAATAATGGCACAATAATCAGTGATATACAAGATATTGCTGATTTGTTGGGTGAAACATTTTCCTGTTCATCCAGCAATACGCTGGATGAACAGGAAAATGTTTCACCCAACAAATCAGTATACTAGTATATGTATACTAGGAATTTTCAGGCATATAAAGCTCAAACAGAAAAGAAATATTTAAACTTCCATTCTGTATCTAATGAAGAATACAATGTGCCATTCACCAGAATAGAACTACATACAGCACTCTCTCACTCAGGGAATACTGCTGTAGGTCCAGATAAAATCCACTACTGCATGATTAAAAACACAGGTCTGCAAGTAAAAAACTGCATAGGATTTTTATACATTTTCTTATAGATTTCAACTTGGTAAAAAAGAAAAAATACCAGAAAAATTCCATCACGTCAATTTTTTTTGTTACACTCAAGTTTTTGTTTGTATTTAGTGTAAAATTCCTAGTTAACTTAAAATTTAATTTTTTTATTTAAAAAATGGCCTTAAAACGAAGACTTCTCACATTAATTCTATCAATTATAGCTGGACTTGGCAATAAATAAATAAATAAATGTTAATGGTTGAAGAGAGTAGGGGGAGGTGGGTTAAGTAGTTTGTGTTAGGAGGAAGGTCGAATGCTCGTGTAGAAACAGATTAAAAGTTGATAGTAATATTACTGGTGAGGTTGAGCATGTTTCGACATGTTATCTAGGATACTAGGAATAAATATAAACAACCTGTTGTTGGATTAGATCATGTTTCAACAAGCTAAATAAGTTTAGTATCTTGCTCGCCATCTAATGCCACACACAGTTTATATCCAGCATTTGAACGTTACTGAGCTTGTATTTTTATTTCTGGAATGTGGCTCGCAGAGATTGTAATTTCTCCATACAGCTTCTGTTAATTTAATATTACTTCTGGATGTTGCGTAATTGCAAAAAAAATTAACTGATTGCTTATTATAGTGTATTATTGCATAAAGTGTAGAAAAAATATATAAAAAGTATATGTAGAAAAAAGTGTCAAATATTTACTATTTGAAGCAGAAATATATATTGATAAATTTTGAGGCATTGCTTCACAATAACAATTGACATCTGTCCAGGCTAAGTAATTTGAAAAGTAGTGTGAATTATGGCAATAACTTCTCCCCTGCTCTAGATTTTGTTTAAAAGAAAACAGATGTGTCTAGCTAACAGATTACAAAGTTTCAATTTAATTGGAGGTAAATATTATTGTCACTAAAATNGGCTACCTGTATTGCACTCACTTTTTCTGTATTTCAACTCACTTTTCTCACTTTTTCAGAGGGGGAAATGGCACTCCCAGGCCTGAAAGCGCTTGTTGGTCTAGCGACATTTATTTGTAATTTAATGCCTGTATGATAAAAGTTTCTCCTATGATCATCTCCTGTGGATTTTTGAATGAACCAACTGTCCCTGCTAGTTGACGGACGAATCCTTGTCAGACACAACTTCTCTTATGGACACACGAACTCTCTGTCATGCGTTATTCCCTTTTATTGGTGTCCTCCCTCTTTTCCACTTTGCCCTTTTTTTGGCAATGTTGCAGTGTTTATGTCCAATAGTAATTTTTTTTCACTAAGTTCCTGGGCTGTGTTCAGTAACGTGGAACACCCAAGTTAGAATTCTGAGTGGCTTAATGGGCGGAGCTAAGAATACATAAAAGAAGCTAGTGGCGGGAGGAGTCAAGCAATAGATAGAAACGAGTTTAACATCACAGCATAACTAGACTTAGAAAGAATTCTGCATTAGTGAACACAGCTCCAGTGACACATTGATGTGTCATCTTGAAAGGGAAGTGACTCCACAGTGAGATAAATCATATCTTTTACAACTTTCTATAATTTTCCCACAAGTTTTAAAGTTTTTAACTTTGAAAAATTAAATTTTTACTCAAAAATTTCTCAAGCCTGGACTTGCATATTGTTGGTTTTTTTTAAAGTATTTAAGCATGCTTTTATCAAGCATTGAATTTATGGTCAGGTAATTCAAAAAATAACATCTTGTAATTAACTCAAATTATGGAATGCTAAACTTGATAATAAATGAAAGTTGGGGACACTTAGAATCTTTCCTTCTTTTTGTTTTAAAATGAGTAAGAAACAATGCATTTAATGGTCTCTGGACAGGTCCTTACCAAACTATTGTTCTCTACAAATATGAGAAAAGTTTTTCTAAGAATATTTCCAAACATTTCTCACAAGGAAAAAAGCTGATTGAGGAGCACTGACTTAAAAATTTGGGAATAACTGATCAACATGCTCATGTTTTAAACAATTCATAGCAATTTCCCTATTAGAATGTCAACAGTATTAACAGAGATGCACAAGCTGCAGCCCAGGGGCCACATATGGTCCCCTTTCAATGTTTGGTCTGCAGAAGGTACAGGCCAAATCCCTTTTATCAAGTGTGTCTATGGATTACTTGCTCCATTGCAATGTTGTACAACCTGTCAGCTGACATAAATCCTTAATTTCTATTGGAAGAGATGCAAAAAAGGGCAATTTCCCACCATCTGGGGTTGTTGGTCGATTTTCCTCAGTGTGAGAATCAAGAGTCATTCTCCAGCACTCCACATCTTCCTCCAGCCGACACTCGCTGCCCTTTTGCTACACCCAAAGTAGAATATTTGATCAATTGACGATAAACGACTTTAAAGTTCATACCTTCAATCGAGGTAGTCTGTTTAAATTGATGTAAACTCTATCTTACATCCAGATAGGGATTTAGAACTTCCTTATGTACAGTGGAACCTCTATACGACCTTTAACCGTTCCTGATGTTTGGACTTATACCGAATAGGACATATACCAAACCAACCTTTCCCATAAGAAGTAATGTAAAAATGAATCATCTGTTCTCATGTAAAAAAAATGGCTGACTTTAAACATCTTGCTTTCCTGGCTAGTTCCTGCATGATTTTTCATGAGATTGGCATTTATCTTTTTAGCTTTCTCACAAATAATTGCTTCTGATACGCTGTTGCCAGCACACTGTTTTTCAGTTATCCAAAGCAAAAGCAATTTCTCAACATGATCTAATGTCGTCGATCTCTGTTTAGAAATTGATTTAACCCCTTTTGCAACGTTAGCAGATTTAATAATGTCTTTATTTTTCGCGATTGTCCATATAGTCATTCTCAGAATACGGTAGGCAACAGTTAAAATCTCGAACACGCTTGCCACCTTTGCATTTCTCAACAATCTCTTTTATCAGTTCCATAGTAATTCTAATCATTTTTTTAGTTTTCTGTCACTTTTCATTTGCCTTTTTGCGATTCGTGATTAATAAAAATAATAAAATTTTACTTAGGAATTAAAATCAGATGAAATTTAACAAAGTTATAAACCGTTGCACCACGAACGTCTAGTCTGGTCTAGTACAGTGATAGTGCTACTTGTTCATAGATGGTGCATATAATTGAATTAAGTCTTATACCGAGCAAAATTTGTTTCATTTAAACAGGACATATTCTAAAGCAGACGTATACTGAGGTACCATTGTATTTGTATTTTATTTTTTTATTTTCTTGATGTCAAATATCAGCCAAAGTCTTATCACGGATCTACACAGAAAAGTAATAATTTAGTAAATAGCATGCCTAATGCTCAAATTTAGGCTAGTGTTGGGAAAAAATAAAATTACAGAAACCCCACCCAGTGACCCTGCAGGCAGATCTTTCAGATCTGATGCCAAACATGGGTGAGTGACAAGCTTTCTTAACCCCAGATTCCCACATTAACCAGGCCTTTCTTCAGAAAAGGTTGTGCATCCCTGGTATTAACTTGATAAAATTTTATCAAGTGCTATAAATTACTTTGAATTGTGTAAATGCTTGTCTATTATCTTTTTGTCATGTGAATTACTAAACTTTCTATTAATAGGCTAAACTGTCAACAGATGTGTGTTTTTTGTACAGTACCTGCTTCATTTAATGTATGCACTTTCCAATGCTATGGAAAAAAATTTCATTTAGTGATGATTATTGTTTGGGAATCTCTTTGATTATTATGAAAAAATAATTTTCTGATTTTAATATTAAAATAACTAATTATTTTTAAGTATAATATATTTTAATTAATGGGCTATTTTATTTTCAGTATTTATTTCATCTGTATGCTTTGTTTTATAGCACAAAGGTAAATATTTTTAGTCCCTAGTTGTCTTTAAGAGTAGAATTTAGAGTAGTAGTAATGCTTTTAGAATGTAAGTCTGAAATACACCTTTTCATTTTAGTACTAAAGTTAGAGTTAAACAAATTCTTAGTTTACAAGTTGCACAATATTGAATATATTAATTCATAATGATGATATGTGTATTTGCTACCCTTGAGTATTTTGTGAAGAAATATTTTCTGAATATTAATATTTACTGATGTAAATCTTTTTATTTTACTTTCAATGTACACTAACATTAATTTTATTTTCTGCAGAAAAATCTTAAGCAGATTCATCAATTTAATTGGAGGTAAATATTATTGTCACTAAAATTTTGATTTTTAATTTATGATTAACGATAGGGACAAATGAAATGGAAAAGATTTCTTTAGAACTCTTTAATGTGACTGCTTATTTTAGTTGTCCATAATGACAGTAGCACTCTCTTGTAAAAAGTATTTGAATCTTAAGGTGTTATGGTATTGTACAGCAATAAGGAATTAAGATATGGCAATACAGTATTGAACTATGGAAACATTGTAAAGTAATAAGGAAATAATGTATGGTAATGTGGTATGAAACAAAATTTGTTAATAAATATCAGTTAGTTATAAAACAATAACACACTGCCTTCTAGCACTAATCCAAATGATAGTTCCAAAGAAAGTATAACTATCGATAAGTTTATAAGATTATTACAAGAATTTCTAATAAATATAGAAAAACCAAAACATATCACTGCCAAGAACCCAGTGAGTTATATATAGATTTGAATTTCACAAAAGAGAATGAGGTTTGGACAATTATAATGTTGATTTCCTCTGCACTTAAAAGGCTAATTGTAATGCAAATGATGTTCTTTTAATGGTCTTCCAAGCAGTCTTATCCTATAATTATAAATGACCCTTATTTCCCAGCCAATGACTACTAATATCTCCCTAATTTTTCCAGGTAATATGAGCAGAATGTCACCAAAGAGACATGTTTAACAATGATAAGTCGGATATGGTAAGTTCAATGAATGATCTTGTTAATTAATTTTGCATATGTGTAATTGTACTTTTCTTTCACAGAGTTCAATGGAACCTGTTCCTGAAACAAACAATTTGTATTCAACCCAAGCAAATGTGAATGTAACTGGAAATAATTCATGATTTCAAGAAAATGCCTCAAATGCTCAACTATCAGTGCAAATCAATCAGGATGGTCCACCTCCAAACACATTGAATACCAGTCTAAGTTTGTCATCTCCAAACACATCTGATAGCCAGAATACATATACAAGTTCACAAGAAAACACTCAGGATTCATCTCTCAACATTTCTGGTAACTTACTTCAGAACCCCAAGCCTCAGAATAAATCTGGCAGCAGCAATTTGTCGTCATTTCGTCACAGTGAAATGGTATGTTATAATTATTAACAGCTGATCTTTTCTTTTGTATGGGGAAAAGTTTCACTAATGCAGTAGTAGCTGTGTTGCTGCTTAGTAATCGTAATTTTTTTTTTTTTTACAGCGACATGTCAACTCGGGTATTTCAGAATATGAAGGAATGCAGAACTGCTTTGATTTTATTGATAAGAGCTTGATTGCATGGTGCTTTTTGCATGATCCAGACATTCCACTGCTGGCTACTGCTTCAGCTTGATTTGGGAAAACGTCAATCCTAAAAGTGCTCCAGAAGTTCTTTGCAATTCAAATGACCAGATCTGGCATTAGTTGATTGCCTTAAAGAATGTGAAACAGAAAGATGGAAGACTTGTTGAGGACCCAAACTACATGTCAGATCTTCAGCACTTTCAAGACAAAGAAAATTTTCACAATGTGCCATTGCTCTGTGCCTGTGGAAGTCATCTGCGATCTATACAAACAGTAGTTTTCATGCAACTGTCAACAATATTCTGTTATCTATATAGATTTTGGGACTGTTAGCAGCGCACCTGTGGTTATTACAAGTTTGAATGATGTCAGAGATGCATTTAAGCAGCATTCATATTTGATAGAAGAAATTAAAAGAAAAACTTTTGTGGTCAAGTACGGGGAATAAGAAAATGGGCAGTCATGATGTCAGTACATTTCTCGACTACTATGATGTTGAGCATCGGAACTTTTGGAGGAGCGCAAACAACTGAAGATAGAACGAGGTACTGTACCTGATGAATGGTCTGCTATTGCTAGCAGAATATTCAAGTCTGCATTTCAAAATTGAGCAATCTAGAAAAGGTGTTATTCTACTTGTTGATGAGTTCGATGCCCCCATTTCTGAGGTAATCTTTCAAAAGGAAGAAGAAGAAGATAGATCAAATATCATAGAAATTTCCAGTTTTCTTCGTTTTTGGACATGCAGGCTTCTTAAGGAGTACTGGTTTGTGGAAAAGGCACTGGTGACCATCTATGTTGCCTTAGTAGGCATTTTATCACTCGGCATGAATAATATGCAGGTTTGACTTTTCTTGGACTCCCACTGTTTCTCTGAAGCATTTGGATTTAGAGGATGAAATGAAAACACTTGTTTTTGAGCTACTTGAGAGAAATTACTTCCTTGTCAAGAGATGACATTCTGAGAAACATAGATCAGTGGTATAATGGATATCCAACCATTCAGAACAACACAAAGATCTCTAGCATCTACTCCATTTTGTCTTACTTGCAAAGTGGCGAGTATTGGAAGGATAAAGTTGGTTTGAGTTGCTTAGATGCTCTTCTTGCTGAAGAAGTATTTCATGAAAAAGTCTTCCAGCTTATTGGCAATAGCCAACTAACAGTATCAATTGATGTGCTTGAGTGTGTGGATCCTGCGCACACATGCATTTTGAATGAGCTAGTTAATAATCCTGTACCTTGAAACTATGGACCCACAAAACATTGATTTGTACTTACAATTTTTGACTGAATGTGGTTTCTTTACTGTGACCAATAGGACAGACATGAACATTAGTATAAGAATGCCAAATTGTGAGATCAGTCGTTGACTTAGACAGAATGTGCTTTCAGGAATGATTAAGAAGAGATCCTATGAGTTTGACTTGTCCAAAGTTTCTGCACTTATTACAAGCCTACAATCTGTTGAGACCACCAATGTGACATGGAGAAACAACAAAGCACTGTGCATTGCAGTTGCAGAAAATGTTGCAAACTTGTACTCCAATGTGGAGACACCCAGCAACCACTTCAAGATACAAGCTGACCTGTATTTTCTCATAAGGAGATCAGGCAAGTTTTCGAAAGCTGATGCTGAACTTGTGGTTGACACGTGCCCAGAATGGATATATTTTTTTTATCTCAAAGAGAACAGTAGTGGTGGTAGTAGTTAATCATTTCAACACTGGAACCAATATGGATTCTGCTCTTGAGAAAACCTTGAATAGAGGATATCACAGGATCTGTGAAGAGAAATTTCATGGTGACATTACTGTTTTCTGGGTATATATTTAGCTGCCGATGGAAAGGTCTCTCTGATTCACTAACACAAGGTGCGTTTCTATTTCAACACTTGGCGGTATTCCATCTTTATTTAGTTTATACGGTTATAAGTACAATAACACATTTCAGGCACTTTTATTTGATAAGGTCTGTCAGTTGCTTGGTAAACATTGATGGAACGAAAAGTAGAGAAGCTATAATGAGTGAATGAGTGTGTGGACAGCAACAGAAACACCCTGTACACTCTTGGTGGGCAGGTGTAGTTATGAGAAGACTTGCTTGCAATTTATGACTATTCAGGAAAGAAAAGCACCAAAGTTAAAGGTGATTTTGTAAAAATGTTTTGCTTTNCCAGGAACTTTTTTCCATCTATTCATGACCACCTTTCTAACCACTGGGTTAGTCCGGACTATGAAACCACGCAATTCTTCACTGGGCATGGGAGATTCCGGGCCTACTTACAGAGGTTCGGCAAATCTACAACGGACATCTGTACCATCTGTAATTGCCGTGATGGGGTTGAGCACTATGTATACATGTGTCCAATGACCGAGGATGCTAGGCATGAGCTTGCCCTTGCTCTTAGCCACAGGGGAATTAACTGGCCATGTGAACTTCATGTCCTTCTTAAGGATAGTGACACCTACAAAGCATTCAAAAAATTGATTCATATGTATCACAACGCTCTGTCATTCACTAAGTTAGTCAAGTCAGTCATCAGGCATTATTTTCATTTGCTTCTTGCACATTATTGTATATACATATCATTATTGTTCTGCTGCAGCATATATCTGTATAATATTTATTATTACTATTAGTATTGTCTATTTTAATTTACCGTACATGTTATTCTACTCTCAAGTTTTGTATAATATCGGTTGATTTATATTGGTCATCTTACCATCTGTTCATACTTTTCAATTGTCATACTGTTTGTACGTTATCTGTCTGTTATTATGTATGTATTTACCTGTGCTTTGACATATCTCTGTAATTAACCCGATTATGCTCTTGCGGTATCAGGAATAAATAAAGATAAAGATACATCGATTGCATTTGTACTTTTATTACAGTAGTGGAAGCATTCAAACAGTGTTGTTATCAACTGCATCAATATGGAGCATGCACAGTTTTTACTTTCAGACATGGATATGGAAAGAATTATATATGATGACGAATCATTGAAGGTGAACCTGATATCTGTGAAACAAGAGAGGAAGACACTGACACGCATTGACATAAGCCATTATTATTAGAAAAATATATTAAAAAAAGTGTTATATTTCTGCTTCAAATTGTGAATATTTATGTAGATAAACTTTGACACATCACTTTACAATAACAATTGACTCTTCTCCTGGCTAAATAATTTGAGGCGTGTAAATTATGGCAATAACTTCTCCCCCGCTCTAGATATAGAGCAGTGGTTTGCTTTGTTTAAAAGAAAACAGATGTGTCTAATTACCAGATGTACAAAGTTCAGCGAATCTCTGCGTACTTCGTTTTCATTTGTACTTTTGTTAGAGCAGCGGAAGTGTTAAAACATGTTTTCTACATTGTCTGCATCGATTTCTACATTGTGTACATTGATATGGAGCATGCACGGTTTTTACTTTCAGACACAGATATGGAAACAATTATACACGACGACAAATTGTTTGAAGGTGAAGCAGATATCACTGAAACAAGAGACAGTGATAAGGAACCTTCAACTTCTCAACAAGGTGAGAGCATGTTTTATATAGGGTGTGATTTTAAAACCTACTGGAATAAATTTCCAACATCGCAAGTAGGAAAAACAAAGCAGCATGACATAATAACGCATCTTCCTGGTCCAATAGGCGATGCCACTAAAGCAACAACCATTATGGATTGTTGGAATTTATAGGAAAGGATATTTTAGAAATATTAGTAAAATTTACAAACGAACAAATTAAAAAAGTATAACCAAATTACAGAAGAGAAAGTGATGCAGTTCTAACCGACTTAATTGAAATAAAAGCTCTTATCGGCATTTTATACTTAGCAGATTGCAAAAAACAAAATTGCTGCAATCCAAATGAATTGTGGACAGTGGATAGAACTGGCCTAGAAATTGTTAGAATTATAATGAGTGAAAAAAGATTCAGGTTTTTACTGTGCAATTTACGATTTGACGATAAAAATTTAAGAAAGGAGCGAATTAAAACTGACAAGTTGGCTGCAGTGAGGGATATGGTGGACATATTTGTAAAATCTTTCCAGAAAAATTATTCTATATCGGAATACTGCACAATAAGACGAAAAATTAGAAGGATTTAGGGGATGATGCGGATTTCGACAATATATGCCCAAGAAACCTCAGAGATATGGCATTAAAATTTGTGTGTTAGCGGACGCAAGAATGTATTACACTTATAATTTCAAAATCTACTGCGGAAAACAGCCAGAGGGCCTGTATTCGATTTCAAATTCACCAGATCAAGTCGTAAAACGATTAATAAATCCTATAACGAAATCAGGGAGGAATTTGACAGTGGATAATTGGTTTACCAGTTATAGCTTATTCTCAGATTTGTTACGGGACAGAATTACAATGGTACGAACAATAAGAAAAAACACGAGAACTCCCTGTTCAATTTACAGATGTAAGAGGTAGAAAAGTCTAGTAGCCTATTTGGATTTTCCAATGATTTAACCTTAGTCTCTTATGTGCCCAAAAAAAAACAAGAATGTCTTGCTTTTGTCCTATTTTCATCGTAACGACAGTATTGATGATACTTCAGATGATCGTAAAAAACCAGAAATAGTTACATTTTACAATTTGACAAAAGGAGGAGTCTATACGTTAGACCAATTAACTGCAAATTATAGAGTTCAAAGAAACTCAAGAAGGTGGACAATGGTAATTTTTTATTGTCTTTTAAATATTACAGGTGTTAATGCAAATATTATACATCACAGTAATAAGAACACAACAAAAGATATAAGCAGGAAAGATTTCTTAAAAACAGTTAGCAATGGAACTAATGTTGGAACAAATTGAAAGAAGAAAATATATGCACTGCCTTCGAAAAGATATAAGAGAAAGCGCTGAAAGGATATGTCCATCACCCAGCACATCTAAAACTTCTGTAGAACAGAAAAAGAGAGGAAGATGTGCAGAATGTGGAAGGAAAAAAAATCGATATACAAAGTATAAATGTGAAAAATTTTTGTTTGTCACATGTAACACCTATGTGCAAAAACTGCAGTGAAGAGAACTGACTTTCTGTTTAGTTTTCTTCAATGCAGTTCCTGTGTTGAAAATATTGCTAATGATTGTACAGTACTTTTCATGTTATGTATATATTTTAATCTTTCTTCCTTTTATATTTTTGTATTAATAGTTATAGACGATAATGTTTCTTGTATATACTTGAATTTTTTTTCATTTTATATTTTTTGTATCACGTAATTGTTTGTATAAGTTTGTTTCACGTAAATAATTTAAATAAATTTTGTTAACTTTTTTTCATTTTGGTTGTTTGTTTATATCGCACAAATTTAATATCCCAACGCATTCACATAAGCTGTTATTCCGTGTTTTTAACTATCAAAGCAATAAAACTAAGCGAAGATAGTAGATGTAAACAAAAACGCCACACCCCTTTTCAATTTAAAAGTCTCTGACAAGGTCATAAACACAGTGGGGTCTCAATTGCTTTTTGTAAGGGGAGAACTAATGGACTTAGAACCTTCTGACTTCTTTTGTTCGAAAGATAAAAATATATGTAGCTAACAAATGTTTTAAATTAAACAGAACGTTTACAGTTTTTTAAATTTTTACCCTTTTCCTAAAAATTATAAAAATACCTAAAATTTAATTACATTTAATAATAAACTGTGAGACATTTGCAACAAAAATAATGAAAATGGGGCGATTCTAGCCCAATTTTAAAGCGAGATCAGAATTTATTATTACACTCAGCGAAGTCATACTCTGCGAGAAATCGCGTTTGTCCATGCGAGAAATAACAGCGACAAAAATTTTTTTAAATTAATTATGCTAAAACAAATTGTGCTAATTGTACAATTTTTGTTTCTTGCATAACTATTTCATTTAGGTATTGTTGCAAATGCATTTTTTTGATAAAATTTCGAGAATATTTTCAGTTATAGATAAAAGAATTTACGCATTCGACATCATGTTGTAAATTGCCAAATTTTTGATGGTCCACCCTGTATTTTGGTCGCTTCATTTCATGCACAGAAAACATATCTAAACTATCAGCAAGAAATTTTGATGGATTCTATGTTTTGAGCAATGTCCATTTTTATATTGGGTGATTGATTTAAGCCTAACACACGACTATATCACATTAAAAATTGAAAATAAAATTAATATATAGAGATCTAAGAAAACTAGCTGTTAAATATTGAAAAAAACATTTTTATGAGTAATATAAAGTAAAAACTTTGACAATTAGTCGATTTACAACTCAGAAATAAGCATTTGAAGTAGAGTAATAAAACAATTAACATTTTATTGACTTTCATGGCAGGGGGTAACACGGGGTCTGATGACAAATTTTCTCGCAGTAGTCCGAAATTTCTACTCACTTCATTTGAAAGTGTAATATTTCTTCCCCATTTACAAACAAACCGGATAATCGGTGAAACAGGAGATAAATTACAGTGAGTTGAAATTTGATATGTTTATTTTTTGCGTTTTTTGTATCAAATTACATTAAATTCGATGCAAATAAAGCATTTATGTCAATATAAAAATATTTTACAGTTTAAAAAAAAAATGGATTCTGTGAGACGCCACTTGACAAAAGTGCGGTCGCAAACTCGACAGGGAAAGGGTTATATTTGTGGTGAATACAGAGAAAAGTCAACATCCCCTTTATCTAATCTCCTCTTTCTGGAAACAATAGGAGAATAGGAAAAAGAAGCATAGAACTCTTTCAAGAATGTAGTGCATAAGTTTTTGAGAAATACTAAGGACCCTGACTACAAAACCATTGTACAACACATGCTGGCAGCATATGAAGCTCAAGGATGCAAGATGAGCTTAAAAGTTCATTTCTTACACTCCCATATTGACTATTTTCCCGAAAACTTGGGAGCCTACAGTGAACAACAGGGTGAAAGATTTCACCAGGATGTCTGTGATATCAAGAGACATTACCAAGGAAAATGGGATGTCAATATGTTAGCTGACTACTGTTAAATGCTCAATCGAGAAACCAGAGAAGGAAATCAGAAACGAGTTCAGAGAAGCATCAAAGAGAAGAAGAAAAGGTGTCATAAGAAAAAAGAGTAGACCTAAAATTGTATATAAATATCAAAAACAATT